TTGTAATCCCAGCACTTTGGGAGGCCGAGGTGGGCGGATCACGAAGTCAAGAGATCGAGACCATTCTGGCCAACATGGTGAAACCCCGTCTCTACTAAAAGTACAAAAATTAGCTGGGTGTGGTGGCGCTCGCCTGTAGTCCCAGCTACTTGGGAGGCTGAGGCAGAATTGCTTGAACCCAGTAGGCGGAGGTTGCAGTGAGCTGAGATCGCACCTCTGCACTTCAGCCTGGTGACAGAGCGAGACTCCATCTCAAAAAAAAAAAAAAGAAAATCATAAGGAAGATAAGACACAGTTACAGTACTGTACTGTAGTTATCACAATTGTAAGTTTACATCATCTGTTTACAAGATGAATTGTCTGTCTGAGATGGTGGGCAAGTGCAGCGGCAGACCTCATTCTACGGTAATATATCAAGCAGTGCAATGTTTTCTTGTAATGTTATGACGTTTCTCTGTTCTTGGGAGCACTTCCAGCATCCCCAGTGGCACTGTATATGGATCCCATGGTGTTATTCATGGTTTACAATGTTGCACTAAATACAATGAAAGATACCTAGAACTTTGAGAGGTCACTTTTTACTGTGGTAACGCAATATACCGCAGAGATGAACTGTTCACGCAAAGATGATTAGTGTTACATAGGGTTTTAAGTGGATACTTGCAACACTTGAACTCATCTCAACTGCAACAGGAGGTGGCTGTGAAATTATTACAGTAGTACGGTATGTAGCGTGGTTAGCTTTATGCGGTTATGATTTAGTACTACATCTTTGTGTTTGTTTATGTGAATGGTGCCATGTATAATGTTTGTGTACCTACGTTTTGGTAAGTTTTAACATTTTATAATAAATTCATATATATTTTATGGTAGTAAGTGATAAACTAGTATCTACATATATTTTGTGCACTTGTGACATACCTTTTTTCTTAATCTTTTTGATATTTCTAAGCTACGCTCTGTGAGTTTTTTGGAATTGTCAGAAATCTGCAAAAATTTTTCCAGTATATTTATTTTTAAAAATCTGCTTATAAGTGGATGCACACAGTTCAAACCCATGTTATTCAAGGGCCGGCTATAGTCTGGTTTCGTAGAATCATGCATGTTCAAGTTAGATGGAACTTTAGACATAATCTGGTTTAAAGCTATCATCATACATATGAAGACACTATTTGAGGGAGATGATATAATGTGTTCTGGGTCAAATGAATTAGTGGCTGAAATAGGACAGGAATCCAGGGTTGTTTTTTTTTTAAATTTCAAGTCCTTTTGATCTTTTCTTTTCTGAAGGATATGTATGAACTAGATGACTTCAAGGTTCTTTCCAGCTTTGGGATTTTGTGGAGTAGATTACAGTTAAGGAATTTTTATAAACTTGGCCTTGTTTCAGTTGTGGTAAATTTCTGAAAGAATGCAGTTGTTTCCTTTGAATTCTTTAAAATTCCAGAGAAATTATTCTACAGTTAGCAATTTGTTGTTTTCAATGAGCTGGACCATGCCATTGTAAGGAAAATACCAGTTCTAGGCTGTAAATGCCACTGGATGGATCTACTGGGTCCTGGACTTTGTGAAAAGATCTCAGGGAACTAATTATTGTGGGTGAGTTTCTCTTTGGAGCAACTAGTTTACTCACAAAAAACAAAGGGTATTACTATTATCTGAGAAACAGAAAACAATATCAGCCTTCTGGGTCCTGCCTATTTTATAGGGCATAAGTCTATAGTTAAATATCACTGAGTTCAGGTTCAGATAAATGGCATGGTTCATTAGAGGAGATCAGACTTGTTCAGAGTGGTGTGGCCATAAACTGTGGCTTGGGTCAATAGGGCAACAACACTGTCAGTTACCTTGCATCGTGACTTGCATTAATGGTGGTCACCTAATTAGCTAATACCATTTTTAGCAGCACTGACGTGATGGCTCTGGATTATACTGGTAGGACACTGACTTGCATGTTCTCATTCCTCTACCTGCTAATTGGATCTATTCTTGATTTGAACATAGATGTTGATATTTAGAAGATAAATTTAGCCTATTGGCTAAATACTGATTGGAATTGTGGATTACAGGATTGGTGATTGGGAATGCTTTGAGCCCTTGGGAAACAAAAGTTTCTGCTTGGACAGGATATACATTTTTATCATTGATTTTTATCAGGCAGGAGATTCTGAGAAGGAGGAGAATTGCCTTGCTCAGAAAGTAGTGAGTGAGCAAGGCAGTGAGCAAGGCTGAGCCTCTCAGTGGCTGCCCATTTGTTCCAGTCTTATAGCTCCTGAAAGAAAAAAGTCAGGAAACAACAGGTGCTGGGGAGGATGTGGAGAAACAGAAACTCTTTTACACTGTTGGTGGGACTGTAAACTAGTTCAACCATTGTGGAAAACAGTGTGGCGATTCCTCAAGGATCTAGAACTAGAAATACCATTTGACCCGGCCATCCCATTACTGGATATATACCCAAAGGATTATAAATCATGCTGCTATAAAGACACATGCACACGTATGTTTATTGTGGCACTATTTACAATAGCAAAGACTTGGAATCAACCCAAATGTCCATCAGTGACAGACTGGATTAAGAAAATGTGGCACATATATACCATGGAATACTATGCAGCCATAAAAAAGGATGAGTTCGTGTCCTTTGTAGGGACATGGATGCAGCTGGAAGCCATCATTCTCAGCAAACTATCGCAAGAACAGAAAACCAAACACTGCATGTTCTCACTCATAGGTGGGAATTGAACAATGAGATCACTTGGACACAGGAAAGGGAACATCACACACCAGGGTCTATTGTGGGGATGGGGGAGGGGCGAGGGATAGCATTAGGGGATATACCTAATGTAAATGATGAGTTAATGGGTGCAGCACACCAACATGGCACATGTATACATATGTAACAAACCTGCATGTTTTGCCCATGTACCCTAGAACTTAAAGTATTAAAAAAAAAAAAAAAAGAAAGAAAGAAAAGAAACAACTCAAGAAAACCCAGAGCACCAAAAATATTCAGCACAGTACTTGGGAGTTATTTGACATTCTGGCATCTTCTTTTCTGACTGTCACCTACTATCTTAAAACCCTTGCTCACTAAGAAACCACAGAGGAAGAAGAGGTAGACACAGGCACAAATCCTAGAAAGCTATTACCTTTTGAATAATACATCAATCCACCTGGGCCACCATGAGCCTCCAGTGTTTTCCACTGGGTATAAAGTGATTTACTTTCTTTCCAGTTGCTTTGGTCCTTTATAAGACCAGTTTCTTAGTACCTCTTTCCTTGATGTGAGTCTGTCCCTAACTAGTATTTCCCTTTGCCTAAGGAGCTGCAGCTGTTTTGATATTCCCCAGAACCATCTTCTCCCTGTCTCCTCCACTTCATGCTTGGGAAAGGAAAAGCAACTTCCTTCCTTGGGGAACCCTAATATTTATATTTCTATTTTGAGACTGAATTCAGTACGTTTTGTCATGTTGTCACTAACTGTAATAAAGACAGAAGAACCCCTCTCCATATAGTCTTGAAGAGGAGGGGAGCGTGGTCAGAGGAAATTAATTGATTGACATAGACTAGAAGCACAAAAGCTATCTCAACGCAACTGTTTGTTGTTAATACCTTTCTTCACTCCTTTTGTTGGTCAGGTGTTTTTTTCATGCCCTACAGCCTGAGGTTTCTGAACTTAGTGATTTTCTCCCTAACCAAAAGGCCTAAGGAATGACCGTTTGGTATTCCTTGGGCCCTTTGGTGAGGGCATCTGGCCTAATCATGATAAACTGATGAATTGGCGTCTTCCATAGAGTGGAACAAGGACTGTTGGCTGAGAAAAGAGTGAATCTGAAGCGAGGACAGAGTTGGCTCATGGAACATTTTATCTGTTCTCTAAGTTTCTTGTCCCAGTACGTCAACAAATTTGTTTTTGCTTAAAGACTTTCCCACACGAATGTCTGCCAAGTTCAGATGACTGCTTTTTTAGATTGATCTTGGTTTTCTTGGAACAAGAGCTGAAATTATATAATAAGCTCAGTTGGTCTCAGTGAGAAAAAGTTGGGAGATTCTATTTTCACATACATTAGACAGGTCTGGGCATAGAAGAAAGAAGGACCTGAAAATGAGGTGGGTGAGTGTGGGAGGTGGGAGGAAAGAACTAGTTAAAGGAGATTTTACTTGTGTCTACTTTTCCCACTTGTTCTGGGCTCTTTGGGTCACTCAGAAGTGAGGCACTGGGGCTGCAATGCTCCATGTTGAGATACACTCTGACCACACTCTCAGTTGACTTACCCTAGGCCAGTGTGTTAGAAAAGGGTCTTTAAGTTCCTGACTTCTAGAGTGGTAGCAACATTGCCAATATTCAGAGCAGCTCCAGAGTGTACATTCATAGACTAGAAGATGCTTCCCTCTGAAACATAAAAAACATGCCATTGTGATGATCTCCCTGCTGGAAGCTACAGTCATCCCTTGGTATCCATGGAGGATTAGTTCCAGGGCCCCTGTGGATACAAACATCCCTGAATGCTCAAGCCCCCTACATAAAATGGCATAGTATTTCCATATAACCTATGCACATCCTCCCATATACTTTTTTTTTTTTTTTTTTTTTTTTTGAGACAGAGTCTTACTCTGTTGCCCAGGCTGGAGCACAGTGGCGCAATCTCGGCTCACTTCAGCCTCCGCCTCTTCGGCTCAAGCGATTCTCGTGCCTCAGCCACCCAAGTAGCTGGGACTACAGGCATGCACCACCACGCCCAGCTAATTTTTCTATTTTTAGTAAAGACAGGATTTCTCCGTGTTGGCCAGACTGGTCCTGAACTCCTGGCCTCAAGTGATTTGCCCACCTCAGCCTCCCAAAGTGCTGGGATTACAGGCATAAGCCACCATGCCCAACCCCTTTAAATCATCTCTAGATTACTTATAATGTCTAACACCGTGTAAATGCTATGTAAATAGTTGTTATACTATGTTGTCTTTCTATCTGTAATTTTTTTCCAACTATTTTTGATCTGCAGATATCGAACCTGGGAAAACAGAGGGCCAGCTGTCCCTACAGCAGAGAGGATACAGCAACACAAGCCTTTACCTCTAAGAAGGAAGATGTCGCTTGATCACTGTGAGATGCTATGTGTTCCTTGAGATTGGTTTGTGGCCTCAGGTCACAGGGCAAAAGGATGAGAGGAACCTGGAGGTTTATTAGAGACAGGAGCGTAGGGGACCACAGTGTCCACTGTGAGTATTAACTGCAGCACGGCTTTCAGGGAGGAAATGGATGCCCTCCTTGCCCACATTCAGAGAGCAGCATTGCCTTAGGAACTTACTAACTCCTGCCAATGCCAGCCAAATGTCTGGTAGCACTGTTGCCGCTGGAAAGGGACCCAGTGAACACTCTCCTTTTCTGAGTAATTTTATGACAAAGATGAACAATAGGTCAGATGGAAACCGAGATGCCGACTGTTAGAATCTTGGATGTGCAGTGAAAGTGGGCATCTTTACTTATACAAAATACTTAGACTGAGACTGACCCACCTGGCCTCGGGCAGTGCTGCACTTCTGCAGGCTGCTCTCTGTGGGGCCTGCCCTGGAAAACTAGCACAGAGGAGCACTTCACCCTGCAGATGGCTGGCTTCCGAGATGAAGAGGATGATAAGAAGATGCTGAGGTGTGTGTGTCCAGTTCCTCTCCCAGATTCGTCAACTCAGGTAATTCACTCTATTGCTGAAAAGTAAGGGGTAGGCTGAGAAGCCAGAAGTGCTTAGGGAAAAATTCTTCCTCATAGAAACCGGAGGAGTGGGAAAATACGTTTCTTTCTTATAATAAGTTTTCTTGGCACAGACACCAGAATTTTCATGAGTGACACCATCAGCAACAAGAATATTGTGGCTTTTGCAGGCAGCTTCAGGGGACTATAGCATAACAACGGAGAAGATAAATGTTTAAAGGATACTTGCTTTCCTCATCATTGTCGGTGTTTTCTAGCCTAAATGCCAGGAGTGGTTCCGATTACATTAGCCCATGAAAGTGATGCATGGGTGGGTTTGGGAGAAAGAGAATAAAGTTATGAAGAACAAGATAAATTCATATACAATCACGTATCGTCAAAGAATGGTAATATGTTAGTTAGAGACATTTTTGGGAATACTCACAGCTTACAGTTTATAATCTAATGGAAAAGACAAAAGCCAACCAATGCAAGAGAAATAGCCATTTGTAAATATATAGTTTTGTTGTAGTGAGAGTTAAGTCAGTGATTTTGTTAGTGAGTGGGGTTAAAGGGAAAGTTGACAAAGAAAGTGAACCTTGATCTGTGATGATGAGGAGACGGGGAATGTGAGAACAGGAGCCTTGAGGTTCTGGTCGTATGGTGAAAACTCATCGAAATGAGCTAAATAGTCTCTCTGATGTCATCCAAGGTTGGATATGAAATATTATGATGTTGCTGCTGCTGCTGCTGCTGCTGTTGATGGAAGGAAGATAAATGTGACAGACGCCCACAAAGTTTTTGGCAAGAAATAAGATTCCATTTGATATGATGCATTTCAAGGTGACGACCTTTAGCATCATGCAGATGTGGCATGTTTTGGCTCATTCCTAAACTATGGGGTTTGTGATCTATACAAATGTGGAAGGCATCAGGTTGAAATGCAATATAATATCTCTTGGCCAATGTAATCGACAAAGTGAAAATTGCAACAATTCCTCACATACACGTTGAAAAGCAGAAACACCACCCCAAAATATGAGAAAGTGGTTTCTCAAAAAAAAAAAAAAAAAAAAAAAAAGTGAGGAAAGCATCTAAACATAGGATAAAGGCTCTTTATACTGCTATTGCTCTTTTCAGCCTGATATCAAATGCATCATTTCTTTGATGTGGTTAGAGAGTACTTATGTCCTTATTCACTAAAGTCAATCTTCTTTGGGATTGATCCCAAAGGATCAATGAGATGCACCCCCACCAACCCTCTCTGCAGGTTCTCCTACTGTCTTTTTAATTCCTCCTATTATTACCCCAGTAAAGACCTTAGGACATGTGCTTGGTTTCTTGCTTTTAGCTTCTGTTCTTTTCAATTTATCTAACTTGAGCCTCCTGATTGGTGTTCCTATAATACTTTCCTTCCTTCCTCCCTTCCTCCCTCCCTCCTTCCCTCCCTGCCTCCTTCCCTTCCTTCCTTCCTTCCCTCCCTCCCTCCCTCTCTCTCTCTTTCTCTCTTTCTTTTTTTTTTTTTTTTTGAGATAGGGTCTGGCTCTGTTGCCCAGGCTGGAATGCAGTGGCACGATCATGGCTCACTATAGTCTCTGCCTCCTGGGCTCAAGTGATCCTCCCACCTCAGCCTCTTGAGTATCTGGGACCACAAGTACATGCCACCACACCTAGCTAATTTTTGTATATTTTGCAGAGATGAGGTCTTACTATGTTGCCCAGGCTGGTCTCAAACTTCCAGGCTCAAGCAATCCTCCTGACTTGGTCTCCCAAAGTGCTGGGATTACAGGTGTGAGTGAGCCATGTACCTGGCCATTTGTTTGTATCAGTTGCCAATCTAAATTTTAAAATGGCTCTCCATTCTCTACAAGATGAAATCAAATTCATTTACCCAATATTCACCATGATGTATAAGACAGACCTATTTTTTAACTTCAGTTCTCCCATTTAATCACACAAATTCTTCAGTAAGCCACACTGACTCATTGTTTCCCCAAACAGCTCTTTGAACTTTCCACCCACTAGGTCTCTGCTCATCCTAGTTTCCCTTATCCCTTTCCTCCCACCACCTAAGTCCTTTCTGTAAGTATGAGTTCAGCTAAAATCCACATTCTGCATGAAATTTTGCCCAAACACTGTAGTCAGGATTTTAAAAAATTGTGCCAGTCATGTCATTCACCATATTTCAAGTGTATTGATGATTTTTTGGATCTTGTTAATACATCTTACTCTTCAAAAACATTCTTGAGGGCAGAGACCTTTTCCTGTCCTTCCTATATCTAGCAAAATTATTTTACATCATAGATTCCAATGATGAAGGAAGCATTTCAGAAGAGGGGAGAGGAGAAGGAATGTGCCGCAGAGGTGAGCATGTGGGCTTCTGAGGCAGTAAGCACTTTTATTTGTTTATTTATATATTTATTTATTTTTGAGACCGAGTCTCACTCTGTCACCCAGGCTGGAGTACAATGGCGCTATCTCAGCTCACTACAACCTTTGCCTCCTGGGTTGCAGTGATTCTCCTGCCTCAGCCTTCTGAGTAGCTGGGATTACAGGCGCACATCACCATGCCCGGGTAATTTTTGTATTTTTAGTAGAGACAGGGTTTCACCATATTGGCCAGGCTGGTCTTGAACTCCTGACCTCAAGTGATCTGCCTGCTTCGGCCTCCTAAAGTGCTAGGATTACAGGCTTGAGCTACCTTGTCCGGCCCAGGAAGCATTTTTAAACTAAATAATAATGAAAACAACATCAACTATTGAGGGATGCAGCTAAAGTTCACTTAGAGGGAACTTATAGCCTAAAATAAATACATTAGAAAGCAAAAAAGGCCAAAAACCAGTGGCTTTCTATTTCTTGAAGTTAGTAAAATAATCATAAATTAAAATCAAAAAATAGGAAGAATAAAATTATAAAGAAAAGAAAATAAATCAGTAAAAGAGAAAACAAACAAAATAAGGAACTTCTAAAAACTTAAAATTTCTTTATTGAAAAGACTAATAAAATTGGTAAAGCCATGGCAGGAATGAATGGGAAAAAGAAGGCAAAATAGTTGGTATCAGGCATGAAAAAAGATGACATCACTATAGATCCTATAGTCAATACAAAAAATAAGGTATTACAAAAATTTTTATGCCAGCAAATTTGAAAATTAAATAAAATGGATAGATGAATAGGTTCCTAAAGAAAACATAGTCATGAGAAAATTAGAAAAATTTTCTTCTTTGTAACTATTAGTTAAATAGAACTCATAATGTAAAATTATCCCACAAAGAGAACTCTAATCCAGATAGTTTTGCTGATGAATTCTACCAAACATAAAGGCAGAAATCCTATTGATCTTATGTAAACTTCTCTAAAGAATATAAAAAGAGCAAAGAAGATTCCAATTATTTCATGAACCAGTATAACTTTATTTTCCCTTTATTTCTTTTAAAATCTTGAAATAATATCAAACTCACAGAAAAGTTGCAAAACTGACATAGAAGTTTACACATACTCTGTCTTTTCCTAAAGTTGACAACTTGCATGACCATAGTACAATTTTTTTAAAACAAGTAGATTAACATTGGACAATACTGTTAACTAGGCCACAACCATTATTAGAATTTTGCCAGTTTGACCTCTAAGGTTCTTTTCATTTCTGGGATCCAATCCAGGATTCCCACATTGCATTTAGTTTTTGCATCTCCTTAGTCTCATCCAATCTGTGGCAGTTCTTCAGTTTTTGCTTGTCATTTATAAACTTGACACTTTTGATGATTAGTGGTCAGGTATTTTGTAGGATGTCTTTCAATTTAATTTGTCTGATGTTTTTTCATGATTCCATGGGGTTCTGCATTTTTGGCGAGAATGTATTACAGATGTGATACTGCAACATCAGGAGGTGCCTGATGTTGACACAACTTATTACTGTTGATGGTAACCTTGATCACTTAGTTACAGTGGTGTCTGCCAGGTTTCCCTGTCAGAAAAATTTCCTATTTTTTCCCTTTGTTGTTGGTAGATATCTTATGGGAGATATTTTGAGACTATAAAAATACCTTGATTCTCCTGAAACTTTGTTCATTGGTCAAATGATGTTTAAGATGTCTACACAGAAAATTATAAACCATAATTGAGATCATTTAAAGAATGCATCAAAAGACTTACAATTTTAAAGATGTCAGTTATTCCTCTCAATTGGTCTATAGATTCAATCTCAGTTAAAATTCCTTACAGATTTTTTTGGTGTAAATTGATAAGCTGATTTTCATATTTAGATGGAAAAACAAAGGCCAAGAATAGCTAAGTTGCTCTTGAAGAAGATGAATAAGGTAGTAGAACTTGTTTTACTGGCTATAAAGTCACATTCTAAAGCTAGAATAATTTACACAGTGTGGTAATAATGCCATGAGAGATAAATAAATGGAGCAGAGTAGAAGGCACAGACTGATTTATTCATAGAGACAGATTTATTCATTTATGACTTAATTTTTGACAAAGATCAACTTTTCAGTGAGTGGTGGTAGATCAATTTTATGACCATTTGGAATAAATGAAACTGAACTCCTGCCTCATATTGGACATGAAAATTAATTCCAGGTAACTTACAAATCTGTGTGTGAAAGGCAAAAACAATAAAGCTTCCAAAAGGTAATATAGGACTGTTTCTTCATGTCTTAGGGGGTAGAGAAAGATTTATTAAACAGAATTGAAAAGCACTAACTGTAGAGGAAAAGATTGATAAATTGGATCACTTTAATATGAAGAACCTCTATTCATTTACAGACTCCCCTAAAAAGAGAGTAAAAGCAAGCTACAGTATTGGATAACATATTTGCAATGCATGTACTACTGGTGGGAGTGGAAAATGGCATAAAGACTTTAGGAAATAGCTCAGTATTTTCTATTAAAGTTCAACATATGAATACGCTATGGCCCAGCAATGCTGTTCTTAGTTACATACTCAACAGAAATGTTTGCTATATGCACTAATAAATAGGTATAAAAATACTCAGAATAGTATTATTCACAATAAACGTACCCTAGAAACACCCCAATTAACAATCAGCACTAAAACTGGTAAATTAATTGTACTACATTCATACAATATATGAAATGGCAGAGAAAAAAAGAAAACAAACTATGGCTACATGCAACAATACGAATCTCACAGACTTACTATTGCATGGCCTCAAGACCGGGAGCCCATGAGGACAATCTGTTACTTGTATTTTTCTCTTACTGTCTCTGACCTTGATGGTGCTGGTGACCTGCAGAAGTTGCTACACCCTTTGCCATGGAGCTGCACAGACACCTGGGCTAGCACTGGGCGCAGCTGAAGGAGGAGGTTTGGTGGGAACTGAAGCAGCTGAGGCTGGGCTGCTGTCCCAGGCCAACCTGGGGAGCCAGCAGTGTCAGTGTGCATGGGCTGGAGCTGTACCTGGTGTCTTGCAGTGACTTTCATAGCTGAACGGCTACTGTTTTATTCCTGCCTTCCAAATCCTGAGCAGATTTCTCTTGTGACCAAACTTAACTGGATCATAATGGAATTCTGGGAAATGTAGTTCTCGATTAGCTAATTTGACTCAGTTCAAGTCATCGTAAGAGTGATTTTTCAGAGAAGAGGGCAAGAGAGAGACTGAAAGAAGACTTTAAGGGGCATCTGTCCTGAGTGGTGGTTACATGGAGGGCACTTTGTGAATATTCATTTGGTGGAAAGTTTAGGTTTTGTACATTTTTAATTACTCATATATTACGCCCCAGCCCAGCAACACTCAGAAAAGGTTACGGAAAAAAAAAAAAAAAAAAAGAGCGTAGGTTTTGAAGTCAAAGGCATAGCTCCAATGACTGATCCTGCTAATTTCTAACTGTAAGACTTTGAAAAAATTATGTAATTTTATTCTTAGTAATGTGGGGATAATAATGCTTTTTACCTCATAAGCTTTGTGAGCATTAAATTACATGATTATATTAGCACTGTCTGGCATATAAAAAGCATACAAAAAAATTTGATTTATTGTTCTAAACATATTACTAGATTATGTGGCAATATATTTTACAATATATTTAT